TATATATATATATATAGAGAGAGAGAGAGAGAGAGAGAATGAGAGGTAGATCTAGTTTTGCTTGTTCTCTATACGGGTAGATTTTAACAAAAACCGAAACTGTATAAAATGCATATAAGTATACATTTAAAATTTGGAGACTCTATCTTTAAAGATGTAGGAGATATAATTTTATAACTGATTTTCGATAAGGTTTTTTATCGATAAAAAAATAACGGGATGAGCTATCAATTTTTAATGATAAACTCGACTCAGCTCGTCGCCCTGATCAAGAATATATATCCTTTGTGGGGTCTGCCACGCCTCCTGCTGCCTGTTACATACATTTCAACAAAACCATTATACCCTGATTTCCCATTTTCAATGGGTTCAGGGTATAAACAATGACATACTCCATTTTATTTTTATTAGCAATATTAGTTATTAACAAAGGGAATAGGAATATTTTTTTTTTTTTTCATTATTAATTGGTAATAGCACTTATTGAGTTTATCGAAAATCTCGAGGTCTCTTGTTTTTCACATCGTCATTTCTGTCTGTTTTATTTCCTGTTTCCACTTCGTCACATTCTGTTTCATTTCCTGTTTCAGCTTCAGCTTGATCCTTGATTCTTTGTTTTTCCACATTGATGTCGATCATGTCGCACAATACCCAAAGCGGCAATTCAAATTCTTCATCATCTTGATCTTTATCTGCTTTCGGTCTATTTGTTCCCTTCATTTCAGTGTCAACCTCCTGAGCAATTTTATCAATAAAATTCTTCTCAACAAAATTTTTCACTGTAATGCGGTCCAGGCCCATCATTTGTTTTAAGGTTGCATCCGTCTTCAGCATTAGAACAGAAGCATGCTTCTTTATTTGCCGTATTTCATTTGTAAATTTGCTTAGATCCTTCCCCGCCATTGTGCTATTTAATACTAAACATTTATTAAACATTAAGTAACCATTTTGCAAAGTTTTTGCGGACTATCTTATCTAATCTAATCTACTTTATTGATATACTGATATATTTCTGATGATTTTTTGATGAAATAAAGCATACAATCATATGCTTAAAAGGAAATCTTCAGCTCTTAAAAAAAACCCCATAGTGCGTATGGCATGTACGAGTAAACCTGTAAAATTTGAAATCCCCAGATTTTGGGGCTTGTGAGATCACTACACTCTTACGAAGGGTAGAAGGTAGAAGGTATATATATATATATATATATGTATGTTTTATGGGGTCTGCCACGCCTTCCTCTGACTTTTACATGAATTTTTTCAAAAAATATATACATATAAAACACAGCTTGATTGTATATTAAGACTTTATATACATATTTGGTTGATATATTATGACTCAAGAACAATTACAAAAATTGACGAGTTCTTCCTTTGGCTGGTTCGGTTGGATCTGCTGTGGCCCGTCTTTTGTTAACTTTAGCGGAAGTTTCGCTTTTGGCTAAAGTTTCATTAGTTCTATTTGTCTCATCGCTCCAGTCAATTTTCGTCTTCATTTGTTCGACACACTCGACGGCAACTCCACAGATTTCCCTGACCAAGTTTTCACACTCCAAATTTCGCATATCCTCCATTTTATCTTCCGACTGCCACCAGGATACAATCACATCCTTCGATATCTGCAGAGCCTGCATTTTGACTTTACATATGTGCTCCAACCGCATTCTTTGGCCATTTACTAATAAATAATTCGCAATTGCAAATGTCTAAATATACATAGTGTATTTAGTTTACCCTTATCACTTACATTGATACACTATCTAAAGCTTCATAAAAAAAAATAAAGAACTATGAGTAATATTCTGCTCGCATCTTGTAGGCTAGCCTCTATCGTTCGTAACAATCTGTCGTTCGGCAACAATGTAAGAAAATGTATTGGATCTATGCAAAAGTTTGCCCCTCTTTTAAATTTTGGATCTGCTCGACTATGATCAGAGTATCAGCTTCGAAGAGCTTCTTCTATGCATATATAGAAGAAACCAATTTTACTAAATCCATTATAATCTGATTTACCATTTTCAATGGGCTCAGGGTATACATAACAATAAAAACAAACGAGGCTAGACGAAAAATTATATTAATTTTATTAGATTAATTTCTTTCTAGCATTTAAATATTAAATCGAATTATGCATATTTCCTCGTATCTCTTAAGAGTGCCTCTTAGTAATTGCTATGAAGCCTATTTATCTATATATGTCTATATGTAATTTGCATTGACGCCGATTTGCCACGCCCACGTTGGTGTAGACATCATTTTCGGCTAACCCTTACTCTAGAGTAATTTGTCTAATAGAAAGTATTGCCCATTTCCTGCATAGTTCGCAAATAACTGTTAACCGTTTCGGGATGTCTGTAAATAAGTGTCTTTCGTTCACGCTCGTTGAACAACCGTTTAAATTTGTTCTATTTTGCTCTGGTTGAGTGTTGTTGTTTGAAAAAAAAAAAAAAAAAAAAATTACTTCTAATCTACAAAAAAATAAAAACAATTTGAAGAGCGTGCTGCATTGAGTTTTTTAGTCAATCTCTCACTTACTGAGTCTCATTGTGCGAACGTCAATCGTATCGCTCGCTCACGATGCTCGTTGAAAGATCGTGACACGAATAGCTCAACGCAATGCACTCAAGAGAAGAAACGAAGTCCCACTCACGGAGAGAGTGAGAGCGAGTGTTGTGTTCGTGAGCAGAGTGTAGAAAATAAAACAGTTAACAGTTATTTGCAAGTTATGATTTCCTAAGCAATCATAATGAGTTGAAATCAATATTTATTTAAAAATAATAATAATTTTMATTTTATACATTTCGAACGTTAGTTGAAATCACGAACTATCGTATGGTTAGTATTCAACTGCACCTCCATGGTTACTCCCAGCTGCTCCTACAGGTGTAGTTCCATTTACGCTATCTACTTTTTCGTCGAAGCAACTTCTCCCACTGCCCAGGCACTCCAGCCATGTTCCCTAAGTATTATCCTTGCGCAGTCGAGCGAGGGTTGAATATCGTCCAAAATCAGTTGAGAGCACTCTACATTGCAGACGTGTTTAGACTTGCTCCAATATTGTTAACCAATTTGAAAGATTCCGTAGTGCTGAAAGCAAGACCTTAATATCTTTTGGACTAACCATGTTAGCACGACAACTGTGTAACGTTCAGTCTATCCACGTCCTCAGTCCTTCAGCCGCTCCCACCAGGACGAGCTGCAGCATTGCTAACCATACCAACCATCATTGTCCCGATTCTTTGTCGGAAATATCAGAGCTTGAACTAAATCTCATATACATATATAAGCTGATGATATTGATGATATTTAGTTAATCTTATCAGCAAGCCTGTCGCCTGCGAAAGTCGTTGTGCTATCGCTAATGACAAATAGCAATCGTAGATGAATGCACAGTCAGACTGACCGACTGGCAGATACCGTGTAAATACAAATTGATATTTCCATATATTGCAGCGCTGATGTACTCCAATGTGCGACCATTTATTACACTAAGCTATGGCCAGAGACTGTGTCGCAGTCGCACCGCAGAGGGCTCGAATCCCACATGGAATGAGCATCTGCAGCTGCAGCTGACGGGTCAGCTCAGCGATTTGCGCGAGGATCTGAAGATCAGCCTGTTTGACGAACTGGTCGAGCAGCAGTACACGGACGAGGCATCCGATCTCTACCAGCGCGTGCAGTGCAACTGGCTGGGGGAATATCGGGTGCCCATTAGCAGTCTCTTGGCCAGTCGCAAGGTGAGTGGAGGGAGTTGACTACGTTTGCTACTTGACTGGCTGGATCACTAATATATACTCTTGCAGTTCGAGGGATGCATCGAGCTGTGCATGCCCAAGGTGCTGGTCGGCTATAAGAGGCCGCTGATTGATTCGGTGACCAATATATCGGTGGAGCAATATCCGGAGTTCAAGGAGAGTGTGCATCTCTGGTTCTATCTGAGCGTGGAGCCGGCTAGCCAGTTGACGCCACTGCGAATTGGCGGCCTGGCCTGTGCCGAGCTGCCGCAACTGCAGCAATATTTGCGCGAGCGCCGCCTGGAGGTGCAACCGCTATTGCCACATCCGCAACGATATGTGGAGCCGTTGATATGTACGTCGCATGGCAAACGCGTGTGCCTCACACGTCTGCTGGAGCCGGTGTCGCTGCCCAGCGAGTCGCAGCTGGAGCGTGTTTGTCGTTTTGTCTCCCTGCTCACTCCGGTGCGCAGTTCGCTGGATGGGTGCCAGAGCTTTGAAGGCGTTTGGCTGAACAACCAAACGCTGCTGGATAGCACCTGGTGTTCTGTGAAAGATCTGGGCGTGCTGCTGTGCAATTATATGCTGGCATTGGGCCTCGAGTGCTGGCTGCTGCTGGGATTGGCCTGTCCCTATGGCGAGTCCACGTTCGTCATCTACCGACAGCCGGACAGCGGCGAACTGGTCCTAGTGGCGCCCACAACTGGCAAACGCTACCAGCTTCAGGATGTCTTTTGTCCGCTGACACGTGTCTACTCGCTGGTGACGGCACAGAATGTGAGCTGAGCTATACATGAATCATACAATAATAAAAATAAAATCATTTTTCGTTCAGATCTTTATCAATATACAGGCGGAAGAGCGCGTCAGCATGACGGATTTCGATGTGCAGAATAGCGAATGTTGGTTGCCGGTGTTCACCAAGCGGCAGCAGGCGCCCCACGGTGGCATCCAGAAGCGTAACTATGCTTACAAGCGCAGCTATCACCTGAGTCAGTTACAGAAGCACATCGAGCGCAAGATTATGAAAAAGATAAGCGCCTGGCGCACCACACGCAAAACATTGTGGAATCGGTGGGTATAAAGATATGCCAATAGCCAGTAGCCACCTGATAATCGATTGTGATTTCCTCTAGTGCCTTTCAGCCACACCTGCTGAGAATTTTGAATGAAATGGAAAGTTTGAGCACGCTCCCAGGCAATCGTTACGATGAGCCGGCATTCAGTGAGGAGCTGGAGCGCGAGTTTCCCAATTATAGGGTGTGTGTGTGTGTGTTTGGTGTTTCCCTGAAAATGAGTTAGCAATTTATTAACAAATTCTTTGCATTTTATCGTTATATTTGTTTAGCTTTATGGCTTTACCATAAACTTTGCCTACACCAACCTGTCGGCGATATCGGAGCGCATTCGCACCAGCTGCATACACTACAACAACAATGCGGCCGTCGAGTTCTGTGTGGCGGTGCACATTAATGCCTATGCCAACGATGTCCTATCCGTTTGGGTGTTTCTGCTGTCAATAGTGCCCCTGGTCGCCTAATTGATTGACTCGACGTGAATCAATGCGGTGTAAATAGCGTCAATGTTCGGTTGTTGATAACGAAACTCGGTGAGCCGGCTGTCTTCGTAGATAATGCCCACAAACGCTAATCAATAAAAACAAATTCTTTATCACTCGCTGTACGGAAAGCGGGAAAGTAAGTATTTAACTCGATTTACAAACATTTTACGATAACGTTCTTTGTGGCGTGTTTGTGGTTTGTGGTTTGTGGTTTCTTTCTTTACCCGATTTGCYCATGTTCCGTTCAGTTCAGTTTTAGTTCACTGCGCACCTTCCGTGCGTTTAGATCGTGTACCGAACTTTGTACCATCGTCGGCTATGGTATCGCCATGCCTTTGAATATGGCTGAGAAATTTGCGAAATTCAAGCGTTATGTGCTCTGGCTCTACAGCCTGTATGAGCTGAACACTCAGATAGCTATTTGCGAGCCATGGGAGAAGGTGTTTTGCCGTAAGTAGTTTTACCATGAGTGCAGCTATTAATCAGCGATTACCAATCATTAACTTGATGGCTGTCATCCATTCCACCAACTCTCACTCTCCCTGTCGCTCTCACGGCAGCAAGTTGTATCTTATCTATTTCGGTCAGTATTTGCCCGTCATAGAGACTATGACTAACTGTGGCGCGAAGTGGTGCCATATAGGAAATTTATAGTTTACTATTTACATTAATGTAATTTGTATTGTTATAATTGCAGACATACTTCTTGGCAGTTGCATATCTCTTATTCTGTATGCCTCGTATGCGTATGTGCCCGGTTATTGCCTAAGGCTGGTTGGGTTTCTAATCCCGCCGGCTGCCACGAATATAAGTGACACTTTTAATAATATCAAATGTGCGGCAGCAGATGGAATATGCAGTAGTAGTGAATCTTTCCTTACGTAACATTATTTAATAATTATAATTTATAACAAATATATATATAATGAAAAAATCTGTATAAATACATATTTTTTACAATTATTTATATTAAAACTTTCGTCGAATTAAAGAGAAAGAAAGTTAATTAAACCTATTTCAATATTGTTTTCTAACTACTGTTAAACAAGCATTGCATATACATAAATTTCAAAAATCGATAACACTAATAAATCGCGCGCTGACATTATGTCAATGTTGCCACTCGGCGAATAGCTTCTAAAAGTTGGCAGCTCTGCATGAAGTGTTGCTGCCAACTCGCTAGAAAAAAAAAACAGTAAACCCTTTGCAGCAGCTGGGCGCATTTTATTTACAAAAGTTATTGAAAACATAAACGTTTATGTGAATAATGTCAAATGACAAACGGACTGTTTATGTTGGTGGATTAGCTGATGAGGTCACGGAAAGGCTGCTGAACAATGCATTTATACCTTTTGGCGATATTGCGGACATTCAAATGCCGGTCGACTACGAATCGCAAAAGCATCGTGGATTTGCCTTCATTGAGTACGAGAACTACGAAGATGCTGCCTCCGCCATTGATAACATGGTGAGTCCAAGCATTTAGTTTATCAGAGCAATCAGTTAATGCGCTCTTTATTTTAGAATGATTCAGAGCTGTGCGGCCGCACGATACGCGTCAATTTAGCCAAGCCGGTACGCGTCAAGGAGGACAGCTTTAAGCCGGTTTGGGCGGATGACGACTGGCTGCAAAAGCACGCGGGAGCCACATTAGCGGCAGAGAGTGGCGAGGCTGAGGCGCCAAAGGAAACGATAGAAACGCCCTCAACAGGGCCAGCAGTGATTGAGAAATCGGAAAAACGAAATCCACAGGTGTTCTTTGACATACGTATTGGGGGCAACGATGCTGGACGCATTGTCATGCTACTGCGCGCCGACGTGGTGCCCAAGACGGCAGAGAACTTTCGGCAGCTCTGCACACACGAGCAGGGGTATGGCTACAAAGGCTGCACATTTCATCGCATCATTCCCGAATTCGTAAGTTGCAGCTGCAGCTGCATCTATGAAGCGCATAATTAATCGAGGTATATATTTTTAATTCCAGATGTGTCAGGGCGGAGATTTCACCAACAATAACGGCACTGGCGGCAAATCCATTTATGGCAAGAAATTCGCCGACGAAAATTTCAATTTGAAACACAACAGCTTTGGCACGTTATCCATGGCCAATTCAGGACCCAACACAAATGGATCACAGTTCTTTATATGCACCACAAAGTAAAGATTTTCCGAAGGTATAACTACTCAGATGATAATACTCTATATATTTTACAGGACTGACTGGCTGGATAACAAACACGTGGTCTTTGGCCATGTCATCAGCGGCGCAGACGTGGTACGTAAAATGGAGAAATGTGGAAACAAATCTGGCACCCCCTCCCAAAAGATTATTATCTACGCCTGTGGCGAACTCAAGTGAATGTGGCTTAAGAATAAAAAACATAATTTAAAATTGTAATTTTGTATTTGTCATTTGCTTTTTATTCAGTTGCATTGTATATAAGGAGCCAGTTGTCAACCGGGTAATTGTAATCTGAAAGGAAAAACAGAAAATTAATTTATATTGCAGATTAAAGAATGCTTACAATAATTGTTAATATATCAGTTGGGGAAAGAAGATAAAACAGCATGGTGTTAATTACTCAGGCCTTAAATCCCAAAAGGGAATTTTCATCATATTAAAGACATACGACTAAAAATATACTAAGGTATTACTTCTTACCTCTTCAAAGTTGAGCAGGATATCGAAAGTTGCAAATAGATATAGCCAGCTGCAAATATAAAGTTTGTAAATTATTAACAATTTGTTGGATTGCGCATGGAAAGCTGCTTTTAAAATTTGATCAGACAGGGAAAAATTGACCGCATGGTTTTTAATGGGTTCTACTCAGAAGAGGGAATCCTGAATAAGGATAGTTCATCAGACAATATATAATTTATGCTCTAAATATCTAATAAACTTACTTTTTTGAAAAGTCCAACATGACTCCAATAGCTGCATATCGATGCCAAAGCGCAGTCAGAGCTGAAATAAAGAAAATTCACTTTAGTTTCGTTTAAAATACATAAATTAAATAATAAAATTTAGGTTTTTATTCAGACAGGGAAAGTTGACCGCATGGTTTTTAATGGGTTCTACTCAGAAGAGGGAATCCTGAATAAGGATAGTTCATCAGGTAACGAAAAATTCATTGAATTGCAATATCAATTAATTAAACATACCTTGAAGCTTTGAGTAAGACCACTAAAATTTACATCGAGTCGGCATACAAATCTGCAAATTGAAAAGTTGAAATTTTAGTTTAAATTTAGTTAACTTATTCTTAACTTATAAATTGTTAAATATCAGCTTCAAAAGTTTGTAACATGTTTGTTTCTAATGAACTATACTAAGAAGTAACATCATGAAGAGTTTTCCAAGTTTTTGCATAAGATATGCCAATATATAGACATACCTTGGCGCAGACTCTATGTAAGAGGCTTTTCTAGATAGTTCCATTCCTGGAGGTACTGCAAGTAAAGAATGGCATAGATTAGATGCAAGTCAAGGCTAGATTATATATATAATTTTTAATTGAATATTTTATCAGTATCCTTTTGGTTTATTTTGTTTGTTTACTCAGCATAGTTGTCAGATTAAAATTATCATCAAGATGAAGCCTTTTAAAAAAAAATAAAAGTTAATTTAAATATTTACCTTTATATTAAGCTCTATGTTTCCCCCCGATGCAAGCGGCCATTGGAAATCCTGATAAGTAAAAGCAAGAGCTCATTTAGTTATTACGAATATGATAGACACTTTAGCAAATATTTTATATGCATTTGTCAGTTATATTTCTCCGCATTTTCTACTCAGTAGAACGAAAGTTATTATAGATAAAAAGTGTTCATCATTTAAGCATTTGATTTACTTAGGCTGACAAAAATAGACTGAAACATACCTTAGCTTAACGTGCCACAGGAATATTTTACTGTATGCATATTTGCAGAACTGAAATAAAAAAATATCATGAATTAGTTATAATATTTCAAGTTTACACAATCTTTAAATTGAGCTTATAATTCAGTTGCAAATAATGCAGCCATGGGGTTTTTAATCACAAAAATCATACGGTAATTACTTTCATCATTTCGAAAACACAATTTAAATATTTCCAAATTGTTTCTTTACTTACTTTTTAGCGGTTGCCAATAATGCCATTCAGTGTTCAAGTGCTTCTTAATTAAATCCTAAAAAAAAAGAAATACTATTAAGTAACATAATTCCTCACATTTAACATTTTTTTTACAATAATTTTGTATCAGTTGCAAATAATGCAGCCATGGGGTTTTTAATCACAGAAATCGTACGGTAATTACATTTCATCATTTAAATATAATTTTATTAGATATTCGCCTAATATAACTTACCATAAAATCAATCAAGCTTGTTGTGCCATGAGTTAAGTTTGTCGTCCAATAAAACTGAAAAAAGCAATACAAAATAGGTTTAGGCCTATGCTCGCATTATGTCAATCAACTCTTCTATTTAAATTGTAATTTTTCAGAATCCTTTTGGTTTAATTTTAAGTTATAAATCAACAGCACTTTGTTCAGATTGAACTTATCATCAGGCAACACGCTAGTTTAAAACACTTTTTCATCTACTCACCTATGGGATTTCCATTGCAGTAACTGATTTGCAACCACGTGCGTACAGCATTGTCTGTAACAAAGAAATAAAACTTATGTGAGGAAATTTTCAAAGTTAAGTCATATTTATAAATTTTTTTTTTTATTATTATCAGTATCCTTTTGGTTTAATTTTTAGTTAAGAGACAACACAGCATTTTGTTCAGATTGAACTTATCATCATAAGACACTTGGATAAATTTATCAATTTCATTTTAAGACTTACCTCAATGAGCATATTTTTCACATACCGGCTTCTGAGCACGTGTGCGTGCAACAAAATGTGGCAGCTGCAATAAAATGAAAAAGATACGTTAGCATGCAAAGAGCATAAATTGCACAGAAATAATTGCAATAAAACAATCAGTTGGCCGTTCTTATTCTTTCTACAAGATAAGAACGCTAGAAACCCTTTTGCAAAGGCACTAGCACTCGACTCTTCAGAAAAAGAACATTCATCAATACATTAATATTATGCTCTAAGTAAATACGCCACTTACCATATTTTCGGTTAAATTTGACGCAAAGCAAATTAATGCTTGTGTTAATGTATAGATCACATATTCATAAATATTTTAGATTAACAAAAATTGTATAAAAACTTCCGATGCGGAAAATAATTTCAGATTACAGAGAATATACAACTCAACCCCTGCGAAAGCGAACAGGAAATGAACGACACTCAACAACAGTGTGACCAAGTTCATAAGGCATTTTTGATTGCAATTAAAAAATACCAGAAAATCAACTGTGCACTTATTAACATTTCACTGTAAGAAAACTAGTGGAGTTTACGATTGTCTTATTTAACAGGAAGTTGAAAAATGCTAATAACAGTCCGCTAAGCACTGTTAAAAGACCTACTCACTGAGTGCACTTACATACCTATTTACGAATTCTCTTAGTGTGTTTCCTATTCAGGTATATACAAAACACAAGAGAAATTCAGATAAAACATAATAAGAGATAACTAAGTAGTAAGAAAAAACATTGCAATTCGTATTAAAAATGACGACTTTATTAAATTTAGCATAGCTCATTGAATGCCTTTACAACAATATATCAAGTACAATACACATATTTTATAAAATTTATATTTTGTTCAATCGAAAATATTTGCATGCAGAGAGACTCCGTTTCACATATATTATTGTTTTTCAACCTAAAAGGCATATAATTTTTGTTTTTCATTAAAAATTTCAATAAAATCTATCACAATATGAGAATTTCAGGATGTGGTATTGCTCGATTGTGATAAGATTATAAAAATTTTGTTGTATTATTCGAGTCATCGAGCACAACCATTTCCTGATCCTTAATATTTTGTTAAATATGTATTCATATATAGACATGTTCTTTTTTTTGTTTTTTTTTTTGTAAAATATTTTCTTTTCCATTATGCTTAAAATTGTACTTAGACATTATAATTTTTAGATACAATTACATATACAAATATATTATGATTATTTTTTTATTATTTTATAAAAAATTCGAATTTGTTACGGACGGACAACATCTTAAACGGTAAACATAAACATATAAAATGCTGATTCTGCTTTAAAATACATGCAAGCAAGTATAAATTTATTTTAATGCTTAGTCTAAAWATTTTACTTTACATTTAAGGCCCTATATTTAGGCATATAAATTGATTGTTATATATATTTTTTTGTTTGTATTTTTTGTTTTTTGTTTTTAAGGCGTGTTCTATAATTATTTGTGCGTAATTTCTTTCATTTTATTTTAAGGGCTGCTGTGTCAAGGGATCTCAGTTCGTACGAAACAGCCTCATTTATGTTTGACCGCAGAACTAAACGTTAAATAATCGTTTTGGGTTGCTTAAGTCTAGATCGTATTATATAATATTACAAAAATACATTCTCTTATATTCAATTCCTTATTGAGCTTTATGTTAGATACAATTTATATTGCATTGCTTAGCCACAAAAACAGAAAGTTTATAATTAAATCGCATTTGTTGCATGCACATGGAAAAACTATAAAGAAAATAGAAAAACTTTCAGTCTAACAAAATACTTGTACAGAATAATAATCGTCTGAATTTCGAGAAAAATATTTGATTCATGGGTGGGTTCAATATTCTTGGGCGTGACCAAAAACTTTTGTTCAATAAAACATAATAGCCAATTTTTGTGTAGCCCGATTCAGTTTTCTACATGTGATATGCAATTCGTTTAAGCTCTAAGTTTTACACTTACAAATTATACTATCAAATAAACATAAACAGACGTGCCGTCGCGCATTCAGACAATGTTAAATTAATGTTATTGCCATTACTATCTGTGTGCTGTAGCACACGACGCTACGCTTAAGCGATAAATTAAACTAAACCTTGACAAAAAAAAGGTAACTAAATATAAGCACAGCAGTTTCGGATGCGCCAAGACGCGTTTCAAACGCGCCAATTAAAAACTGCTGATACGCCCGATCGGGGCGGGGAATTACTACAACTAACATCAACATAAACAACGAAAATTCGACTAATTTTGTGGTAAACTGGCCATCAAAAAAACTGATGATGTTTCCCTACTCATATATAAGTGCGCTTCACTTTTGTCAGAGTGGACGTTTTGCAAGGCAGCTCCTTTTCCAAATGTTCTGTGGAATTTTTGCATTCGTGACTGCGATCTTTTTCAAGATCGAGATTCGGTGTTTTCTGTGTCGTGGTATATGGATTCGAATTGATTAGCAAATTAATGTCCTTGCCGCTATTTTGATGCTTGAATTGACTGCGATAAAAAGAAAGAGAGAAATTAATATATATGTTTAGTTTGTGCATATAGTTTGTAGCGAGGTTAATTCTTACATCGGCTTGCCAAAGTGATTGTGGTGGCTGGCATCCAATCGCGTTTGATTGCACCACTGCTTTATTTTGATGCCCATTATGCTACCCAAAAAGAATGCCATAAACGATACTACGGCAATGATGATAATTGTGTTGTCTGCCAAGGTAGAAGCCTTGTGCACCTCATTGACAACAGCGATTGATTTCTGGGGATCTACAACGAGAAGGGAAGGGAAAGTGAGAAAATGAAGAGCCATTTGTGACTCATTCACTTACCATGCAGATTGGTCATAACTTGCTCCGGATCCACGGATGCCTGCGGTATTTTGTTTTCATCGATGTAGTCATTAAGCGTAAAGTCAGCACCGTTGCCCGTTGGCTGCTGCTCCAGGCTGGGTTGCACCTCTGCAGGCGTGCCACTCACACTGGCATAGTGCAGTTTTTGCACCTCCTCCATTTGCGAGGGCGCCATGGTGACAATGACGGGATCTGCGGCTGTTTTCGGGCACAGGAACGCAGCCGCCTTTTTGGTTGTATTCAGACTTTGCAGATAGGTCTTGGTGCCGAACTTGTGCTGGCTGGCGGCCAGATTCTTGCACTCGTGAGTCTGTAGATCCCAAGCACAGTTCGGGTCCTGCAGGCTGAGGCAGCCCAGGCAGTCCACAATCAATGAGCAGTGATGTAGGGGCACCGTTACCAGTCGTCCATCGCTGACCACGACGAGGGTGTTCTTCTTGGAAGAGATAACCAGCTCGCGGACAGGTGTGCCAAGCGGCAGCACCTGCATTTCAGAGATGACCACCGTACGCAAGCGATCGACGCTGCTGTTCTGATGCGATGTCACGATGTTGATAAATTTGGTCACCTTGCCGTCATCGGTGCCACTATAGATAACATCGTAATGGTTGCCATTCAATGCACGCACTTGCGGGTCCACCGCAATGGCCGTCAGCCGATGGTGCAGATTGACCTTGGTGAGCAGCGGGCGGCCATGCACAGCAGGCACAGCGCTCTCCATTAGCGGATGATTCTTAATGAAGTTCACTGCGATGCTTGTCAGAGTGCGAGAGTCCTCCACACACTGGCCGGGCCGTGGCTTAGGCACCTGCGTTTGCTCCACTGGAAGCCAGTGCGATTGGGAGTCCTTCTGCGATTTGAAGGCCCCATCAAAGGCAGCCAATATGTCATCCACGCGATAGGCACAGACCGCCGAGCCGGGTATGGCGTTCACCGGTGTGGTAAACACTGCGTAAACCAACGCATTGGGGCCGCTCTCCACAACCGGACTTATAGCCTCTGTTTGGGTAAAAACAATGAGAGTCAAATTATGATGTCATATCAATCTGTACAGAGTGGGCGTATTAGCATTTCGGCACTTACGTATCTCATCAAAGTAGAATGGAAACTCGCCCGGCACCGAGCAGTTGAGTCGTGTTTTCAAGAATGACGTCCAGCTCTTGGCATGATTGTAGGGTCCACCGCGATCGTTCTTGCAGACGCGACCCACCCGGGAATAGACCGCCTTGCCAAAGTTCATGTACTCCATGGACAGTTCACGGAAGAAGAACAGCACAAACCCGTTGCGCTCAATGGCGCCCACAAAGTCTGGCTGATTGAGCTGCTTGAGATCGTATTGCTCGGTGCGCAGATTCTCGCGATAGATCAATGGATCCCCGCCAGAGAAATCGGCAACCGTGGCGCTGTACAGCTGGCCATCGGCAAACACATAGGTGCTGTTGTGGGCGGGACTGTACGGGCAGAGACCCTGAGCCTCCACATCTCGCGTTATCTCGTACAGCATGCTGTTGCCGCTGCCCGCTCCCGCTCCCGCCTCAGTTCCCTCTGCCGCCTGATCCACGGTGGTGTAGTGACGACAGCGTGGCTTATACGAATTGGTGCCGCAGAGCAGAATTTGGCCATTGGGCAGTCGGGCGAACACACGCAAATAGTTGTGACAATCCCATTCGTGTTTGCCCTTCAGCACGCACAGCTCACGATCGGCGCCCGAGCTGCGCCACTCCAGTCGGCTGGTCTCCTTCAGTCCCCGCAGTGTGATATTGTAGATGACGTCCCTGCGAAGAGACGATAATCAAATTATTTACTTAATTGCCACGCCTGCCAGTCGTGTCACGTCTGTGCATATGTGTGCAGCCTGCTAATTTAGCTAATTGCCAACCAAGCCAAAATAAATGAGCCACACAAACACACAAACACACACACACACATATGTACAGTCAGCCGTACCAAGGTTATTTTTGCGCAAATAATTGGAACCTAGAAACATTGAATCAAGTACTTAAACATGCAATTGCGTTTTAATTGTCATCATTTCATCTATGCTCAGACGTTCAGGCGATATTTCTAGTTTATGGCAATGTAAAGACAACCAGCAGGAACCTGCCTCAGTGCTTTGCTAGCCACAGATACATTTCCTCAAATATGTCTTGGCCTTGGCTTTATACAAAGCTGAGATTTATGCGCACATTGTATCTTAAATGTATATTTTTTGTTAATAGTAAAAAGCTTTTATTAAATTTTGACTAATTGCATTCTAAATAGCAGTCGAAAAAAATTATTAAAAAATTTATTGTAGTACTCAAACTGAAACAATTTCTTACTAATTTAGATGTCTATATTTAGTTAGTAAGCTACTAAATTTGTTTGTACTACTTTTTTAATGACCGCAGCTTTTTATGGATATGCTTTAAGCTACTGCTCAGAAAGATGTATACTAAACTAAAGCTCTTTAATTACCCACATAATAATCAAATTTATGTTTATTTATATAAATCTTGCTATTTCTTTTTTTTTTTTTTTTTTCTGAACACTTTGCTGCCTGGATCTGGTTAATTGCACTTTAGCATGTTCCATTTCAAGTGAATGCTGAATAGAATTATACGTAAATAAACATTTTGGCCTGCTGATATATACATACGTGATTCCAGGAAAGCGAATGAGAAATGCAAGATTTGCACTTGACTAGAAAAAACATACACACTGGCATATACATACACATACATGAATAAATATATTAGCTATGCATATCGATATACAGATAAATTAACACATTTTGCAACAATAGTTGCTCGGAAAGGTGAAAAAAAAACACACACACACACAAACATTCGTAATGCCAATGGCGCGTTAATTATTCCGCGAATCGAGCATTGTTTCTAGTTGCCTTTTCTTTTTATTTATAAATATTTAAGTTAGCTCGTGCCAATAAAAATGAGCGTTTGCTCATGCAGCTCAGGTAGAGAAGAATTGATTGTGTTGCTAATTCGTATATGGCAATGCGAGAGGGAGAGAAAACCTTCAGGCAAAGTCCATATACATCCATATCAATTAAAATAGGGCATCCGCCGTACTTACTTGGCACCCACGAGAATGCTCTCATCATTGTGATCCAAAATCTTATAATAGTCCGTTGTGTTGCCAAAGAAACTGGCCGTCACTTTGTCTGGCTCTGCAAATCAAAATGAAAGTCAATTAATGCGAGTGGCATGAGGGAGGGAAAGCTGAAAGATTTTAGTGCCTACAATTATAATTACAATACTAGAAAAATGTGGTTTTAGCAGCTGTGTCGAGAGTGAAAAACTTGAAAAGAATAACCAAAAAATATATTTGACTTTGATTTTAATTTAAGCTATAAGACTTAAGACTTTTGAAATATGAGATTTAGCCGAGAAATAAAATTTTTAGATTAGAATAAAATAACTTTCTTATTTGCAGAACTCTATGTTCTGATTGGCGAACTGTAGAATATATATACTATTTACTATTAATCGATAGATTTTTATTATTAATAGATTTATTATTCTATTTGAAGAATTTCCCAAATCAAAATATTTTGCCATGCCATTGAAACGAAGCTTGTGAGAAACGCAAGCAGCTGAGCTGCAAAGCTTAGCTGGCATTTGATTTCATTAGAATAAATGGCCGTAATTAGATGGCCCATTTTACATGTTGCTTCAGAGGAAACGCTAATTTGTTGCAAGCATTGCGAAAAATTGGGCGCGATAAGCAGCGCGGCCAGCGAAGCCAGCTCAGCCGAATGCTGATAAACGAGCGGCAGAGCCAAAGCCATAAAGAAACAAAGAATAAAACAGCAAAACAAACAACAAGTGGCACAAATAAACAGCAATAATGCAAAAGTGGAAGTGTAGATGTGGAAGACGAAGCAGAGGAAGAAGCAGAGTTACATTGTAATTGTTGGCGAACTTGGAACTTACTTGTTTGTAAATCGGGCCGCACATCGGGCATCCAAGCACCGACAGCCGCGATGCAGAGCCAAAGGCAGATGCATGCACCCAACTTGACATCTGTTGCGGTGGTGCCACAGCCCCTGTGCGGATGATATCTTCTCCGGTCCGTAATTAGCATTGTTGCTGCCACAGTTGTTGACGTTGCACGCTGAAGGTCTCTTGACGTGTTCTTTAGCTCGGCGCTGTGCCCCGACAGCACTTGCTGGAATTAAAGTCTTTTCAATTGACGTAGCGCACTTGAAATTCTGTTGAGCCTGGCTTTTCTTTTTTTTTTTTTTTGCTATCTCTTTTTTGTGTAGTGCTGAATTCTGATGATTCAGCAGCGTTTGCCACTCTCGCTTGGGTGGTGCTTGGTGGTGCAGCTGCTACACTCACAGACTGAGCGACTCGCTAGCTGGCTCGCTGGCTGTTGGCTGTTGGCTGCTGGTGCCAGTGGGGCTGGCCGGGCCTGGCCTGACTGGTTTTAATCACTGCAGTTTGTCATTCTGATTGCTGCCATATTCTCGTGCCAGTTGCCTCTGTAGTTGCTGCAGTTGTTGCTTATTTGCTAGCATAGCTCTAGCACTCTGTTCTCTGTAGCGTATAATAAATTTCACTGCGTCGTTCTTCTTCGTCTCTTGCTGTTGATTTCTTTATTTATATATTATTATTTTTTGTTTGTTTGTTTGTTTTCTCAATGCTATTAGTTGATGTGCTCAAAAGAAGAAAACGCAAAACCTGCAATGAGATGAAAAAGATTGTTGGTTAATTCGAAGTCGCTTTTTTGCTTCAGCGGAATGCCTGGAATTTCACTAGACCTGATTGCTGGTTGTGGTCAATTTGTATGCAATATGGGGCTAATAGGCCGCCATTAGTTTCCTGCTAACTACTTATTTTTGTGATACTTTAGGTAGGTCAGTTATTTTACTGACTAAGGTAATTAGTTTTTCACAATAAAATATATATTTGTCATCCAATAGCCACTAGTAAAGCTTAAAATATATTTATAAGACAGTTGACTAAGCTTAATTTATATTAATATTTTTTAAGTCTAACCATTGCAATGCATTGCTCGTTGTACGATTTAAATATATAATTATTTTAGACTTATGTAGATTATAATTTCGAGTAGTTTCCGCAAATGATATCATTTATTTATTATAGCTTCAATTCGTATAGTAAAACTTAAATCTCTCCTCTCTGTCGGCTATTGTTCATATTTGTAATTATCGAATTTTTTATTGTTACTTTTTATGATTATATAATGATATATAGTTTTCACTCCAGTGTTGAATATTATTACCAAATGGAAACATTAATTTCACTTGTGTAACAATCAAACTTGTTTCGGCGCATTTGTTAATGCGATTGTTTGCAAATTCTTCACACACTTTTCACACTTTCTACGAAAACGCTTTAAAATCGTCCAAGCCGAACCGCGCGTTAGGCCAACTCGTCGAGCACTGAAACTGACGAACACAACAAAATTGCCAACTGAGCGAGCACAGCAAACAGAATAACGCAAAAAGCAACAATAACAGCGGCAGCAGTAGCTATGGCAAAGCAACAACAATACAGCTTACGCCTACACACTCGCGAGCACAGTTTGAGAGCCGCTTTAGGCTAGCTGAGCACCGTTTTAGCAGCACTGCACTTAGCGCTCTTAATATACGTATCCCGCTCTCTTTCTCTCTCCCACTCTTACTGATTATTTGCTTCGGTGCACCACCCTTAACATGTCACGCACCGCTTCATGCTGTCCTGTGGCTCAGCGGCATTTTGTATGAATCATAATTTTGTGAGTTTTTCCAGTTTTTGTTGGGAATCACGTGCAGTATTTTCCGTTGATTTTCCTTGTCAGCATTTGGTGTCTAATCAGTTAGATAGACAGAGGCTCTCAATATATCAGAACGTGTTGTCCTGCAAATGCTGTTCATCACACGTTCACACACACACACACACACACACACACATGGACACTCACACGTAATTTCCATGTGTGGGCCTCAGGTTTTTTTTCTTTCTTTTTATGACGATGGCAGGGGAAAAGGTGGGAAAAGTCTGTTACAGTTTCTCACGCCTCGCCGTCCGTCACACTTGGACAAGTTTTGCCTCTGCGAGGGGCGACGCTGATGGTAGATGATCTTCAATAAATTGCTTTATTGGCCAATTGAAGGTCACACTTGTTGGCTCTTCTCGTCGTTTTGGTCAATGAATTTGTGTTGTGTTGTGTCTGCTGCAGGTATCGTTTTACCAGCCTGAAGGTTTGCAGGTCGAGTGACCCGTCTGACTCTTGGCCCATTCGATGTCTCGGTTTTGTAATATGTGCGGCTAATGTTGAAAGTATAGGGGTCCACAATTAACCTTAAGAATTGTAGAAAATGGTTGCGAGGGGCGATTGAAATGTAATACAAATGGGCAACTATTTTTGCACGCATTCTATGCATACAAATTCTAGACTTGGTTTATATTTTTAAGTAAAATGAAGAATTATTATTCAAATAATATTCATAACGATTCTATAATCTAAAAATTTTCTATATTAAAAGAAATATTTTATTAAAATATTAATTATAATTTGTAAAGGGATAGGTCAGGCTAGCTTCATTAAAGTCTTCAATCTAAATAAAGTTTGGCTATAGTTATTAGAATTTCCCATAAAGGAAAGTTTAGTTATGCATAGAGTACAAATAAATAACCTTCCAATTCGTTAACAGATTCTGTACCAATGTATTGAATTGGATTCGAATGTCTTAATAAGACCAAACAAAGATCGTAATCTGATAATTTGATTCAGTCCCAGTGGAAAACATTTATCAGAGTTGCTTTGAACAATAGTTTCCCTAGCTTATTCCTAATGATAATAAGATACAGTAACGGGCCTATGCCAAGTTTTATAAAGACAGATGTCTGGTCGATAATATATGTATACATACCTAAAAATACATATACCCTAAAAAATATGTATGTGTATGAATATTTATTTATTTATCTTTTTTTTTTTATAGGTATTTGTCTCTACTACTGCACATTTCTACACTTTTTTACAATACCGTCTTCTTTATGTAAGTATTATATGAAGATATAATAGAAATGATTGAAGCTTCAAGGCTTTTTTCTTTTAATAGGAAAACAAAACAGACCGTCGATAAATCAGTTATTTGAAAAAGGTTAAATTATAAAGCTGGTCTGATATATTTGTTTAAAAAATAACAACAACTACAACTATATCGTACAGCTGAAATGGGAACAGCTGAATAAATTACTGAGGGCATTTCGTCTAGGAGCTATCAGCAGCTAACTTTCTTTAGTTATATATGGAAAACAGCTTAGTCAAATGTATTAGTTTCTTGAGCTGCCCTCGGCATGCATACATAAAACATTTATATATGAAGAAGTATTAAATGTTTTATGTGGTTTTTGTTTGTCGTTTTTTTGTTAAGCTCTAAAATTTCATAAGCCACATTTAGTTCAATGCCAGGAAGTGCGTTCCGCTTTTGAAAGACCAGTTACAAAATGCTGACTCTACGACTATTTATGTGCTACTAATTAATTAGCTCAAATGTCAGTTAGAATCTATCTATCGGTCACTCTGTTGTGGTGTGTGTGTGTGATTGGGTGTCTCAGTCTGTGTACAGCTGCCGCTCGCTTGACTCGTTTCACACTTTCCCGGGTTTTCTTTGCTGATAAGCATACACAGATGGGTGTTTGTCTGTGTTCTTCTTCATCTTTTTCTACGTCTATTTGTGATGCACACAGATAAGCTGCTTGATCAAGATAACGGTGAAATGTATGTCACGTCTGACGCTCTCTACGACTACGGCTGCTGCTGCTGCTGCATTTTCTTCGGCCAACGCTGTGGGAAGCGTGAGCGTGTTAATAGATAAATCGGTCGAGCGCTCTTCCAGTACGTGCTCCACAATTAAAATTGATTTCTGCCTATGAATATTGGGTATAGCCAAATCTAGCACCACGAGGCACTCATATATAACACATATATATACCCATATATTAACTGGAAACCTGATCATAGAGCTGCTGCTACTACCATGCAACCTGTTTGGCAAGTGGGCGTCCAGCTAGTCAATACGTAAGGCAAAAGCTAACAGGTGCTGCCACCTGCGACCGGGCCTTCGCCTTATAGAGAGATTCAGCAGAGTCCGTAGACTGACTGACTGGGCGATGTCTGTTTCTGCTTCTGGTTTCAGTTCTGGTTCTGCTTCTGAAGCTGTTTTGCAATCTTTAAGATTTTGCATATTTCATGCGATGTTTTGTAATCTACAGTAAACAATCTAAATGGGTAGCATCAGAGTCTAGCCAAAGCCGTGACTGATAGAAGATATACCCTGTAAACCTACTAATTGTTATGGTATTACATTGATAGTGTGCAGTTCTTTCTAAATTTTTGTTTGTCTTAGTTTCAATAGCAAATATTTCTAGTTCTATTAATTTATATTTTTATAATACGAATTTCTTGGTATTAGTTACAATACTCTATAATATGATCATGCAATCTGACGATAAAATAGACGTATTTATAGAGCCACAATAAAGTTCATTCGGTAAACAAATATAATAAGCATACCATAATATAGCTGTATACATACTTGATACTCTTGGAAACTTCGGTTTGTTTATTTATCGACTTCAGTTTCACAATAATAATAAACTTAACCAAAGTCGAACGTGTTGTAAAGCTCATATTTGTTGTTATCATATATTGTATATACATATGTATATATGTTTATAGTCTGTTGATTGTCTGAATTTATATCAATGACTGATTAATTCAGTACAGTTAAAGACCCCTTTGTTGAAGCTGCTTTTGCTTTACATTATATTTTATGGCTTTTCTACTCGCTTGAAAGAAATATACATATTAAGTATTGTCTATCTATATTGAACTAAGAGAGGCTTGAAATATTAAGTATAAGCAGATATAGTTTAATAGTTTTTTGACTATATAATAAAATAATAAAATATTATCATAATATATTCTAAACGTATAGATGTGACGAAGTTCTAGTGTAATAAAATGGCTCTCGATATACCATATCTAAAATGAAGACCATTTATGATCTCATTTAATGATAAGCTCAAAACAGAAGTCGTAAAAAGGTGGGAAACTAAATATGCTCTAATAAATAACGTCTGGTTTGACTTGGCTCGCCGGCTCTTGTTGTTCAGTGTAGGAGTATAATGCAGTCGGTTTCACATGAGTGCAACATTCTTTTACTTGCTTTAGTTCTGGCTTCTCCTTATCATTAGTTCAGTTCAATGCACTTTCGAGTCTTCACTTTGCTTTTCACATCCACACTTATCCACGGAACAATCGTGGGGACTGAAGGCTTTACTTCCGATTTGAGCTCAACTCCTACATGATTCAGATACACACACGCACACACACACACACACATTTATATGTATATTGTGTATCGTAGTTAAACCAGTTTAATTAAGAAGCGATACTCAGTTGGGTTTCAGCGGAAGCGTAGATGATTCAGAAGCGCCTGCTATTCAAAGTGTAACAAACAAATGAGCGCTTAACAATTTGAACAACAAAATAGAGCTCTTAATACGTATAAGGCACGACAAGTTTTTCATTCACAAAATAATAAGTATATTTATATATATACTCATAATAGTAGCATAGCTAATAGCGCGTAAAACGAGCGTGGGAGTTTCTATTGATGAAGTTTCTTGTTTTCTGTTTTCAAACGCGTTTATAAATCAAACAAACAATATCACATATTTACACAGTTGCATTCACGCACACACACACGCAGATGAATTTAAGTATCTCTCAAAATGCGTGAGAAAGAGAGGAACGGGGGAAGTTGTTTTTTTTTTTTAGGTTAAGTAGGACACTGAGCGTTCCACTTTGGGCTGCTGCCGTTTTTGACACTTTGACTGGAAGTCGAATTTGTTGTTGGTTTTTTCTTTCTCTCGGCTTGGGCGTTGCTGTTCTTGCCACAGTTCTTTGCATTTAAATTTGAGCAGGATAGTTTACCGTTAGCTTCTGAAATGCACTTAAGCTTCCACTTCCACTTACGCTCCACCTTATTGGAGAACGACGCGAATTGATTATGCTGCTAATTTATTAGATTTTCTACTCAAAGCAAAGAGACAGCTAACTCGTTTCGCTGCTGCTGCCTTTTACAGTTCTTAGCCAGACACTAACACTTGGGCCACCGCCTCGACCACTGTTCAGAGTGAGGGGCAACAAGTCCACAAATTCACCTGTAGCTGTGTAGCGAGTCGTTTAGTTTGTTGTTTTTTATATTATCTTTCTGTCTCTCTCCATCTTATTCTTTCGCTTCTGTTCGAATTGGCTGCTTGGCCACCACTTTAGCACTTGGCTAGCTGCTGCTTCGCCTTCGTCTGCTACTTGCTGCGCTGTTTACAGCACGCATACACACTCACACACTCACAATCACGCGCACTTTTACAATTTATGTATTTTCTTGTATTACTCGTTTTTAAGCTTATGCTGCTTCATGTTTGGTTTGTTTAGATGTGTGTATACATGTGTGTGCTGCTGCTGCTGGTTGTTGTTGTATGYGCATAAATTAAAAGAGAGAAAAACACACGTCTGTACACAATAAAAACCTGTTTGTTGCTTGACTCTAGGTGTGGGCAAACGCAACGCGGCGCGGCGCGGGGGTTGGTACGCTTGAGTTGGCTTGTAGTTTTTTTTTTTTTGTAGTAAACGCAACAGCAGTCACATTAGCTTTGATTTTAAATATAAATTTTACACATAGAACTCACAATACATACATTTTTTATGATATGTATGCATCATATCTAAACCTTAGCCTTCACTAAACTCACCAAAATTCATAAAAAATGTTCAAATAATGATCAAATTAAGCGAAAAACACGAACTATAAAAATTAGACTCTTTACACTACGGCGGCCATTTTGCTGTGAGTTGTTTGGTATACATCTAGTGATGATAGCGACGGGTCGACAGCATATCGACATCGATAGCGATTTTAAACAGAGTTAGCATGCCCACAGCTGCAATCGAATATGTGGTCTCACTAAATGTTAACGATATATCATCGATATTGTTAGCCTAGCCACCCCCGCAGAGAAACACCGATAATGAGAAGTGTAAAGTTATTTACCTTAAAATGAATCTATTAAATTTATAAAGTGTAAGACACTTGAACATAAACACAAATATTTCGTAATCAAAATGACGTCAAAGTAAGTGCATTCATTAATAAAAAGATATAATACAAAAACTGCGGTGAATTTTTCGTGCGTGGGTATGTGTATATGCAAGTGCCTTTACCTTTGTGTACGTGTATTTGTTTGTGTGGCTTATGTGTATGTGGGGGTATTTCACTGTGTTTGTTTTGAGCTGCAGTCTCTACACACATACAAAGATACGGCATTATGCCAAGAAGAAACCAATAATAAGCTGCTGATAAGCATACGAAAGGGTATGCTTGTAATGTGTCTGTGCATGTATGTGTATTATAAGAACAAATGGTATTCAGAATAGAATTATGTATATTATATACAAATCAGATTATCGTCTTTAAAGACATGCATGAGAAATTGAGGAACAGTCAGTTTGATTGAAGAATATTTAAAATTTATATTCATACACACACATAGATATATAGTGTCTACATCGATCCCGAGGTAAATAGTTAGAAAATAATTAACTTTAATGACGGTATTGGATATTTTGCTAAATATAGTTATGAATATTATGCTCGAGACCCCTTATTTGACACTGAAGTCACTAGCTAAATTAAATTGGCGTTACGCGTAATCAATGATAATTAATTATGTACTTGAAATGGCTGAGTACCGGCAGCATTTCCAGGGTCGTAACATCACGTGTCAATATTTCAAAAATTGCTTGTAAGCCATTCAATTGTAGTTTCTAACGAACACCTCTTGAGCTCGGGCTCAATTTGACAAGATGAGTTATTCATTAAAAGCTTGGCGAGCTATTCTGATGAATAATACCTCAGTGGGAGGATACAAAGCCATCATTAGGTTTTAATTTGAAATCAGCGATTTTTTTTATTTATTGCTAACTCATAGCTAAGAGCGATGCGAAACTCGTTTTCGCAGCTTTTAGTCTTTAAAATATGAGAAGCTGCGGTTGAGAAAGTCAGTTGCCATTGTGGCATGTGCAAAAGGGGCACAATGCTTAAAACGGTGAGTTAGCGGCAAATCTTTACTCTTACCGAGATTAATGTTCCAATTTGTATCGTACATACATATGTACATATACCTGAAGTACATTGTGGCATTGATAGTCCATGCAGCATTTGCGGCACCAGCCACAATTGTGCCGCGCATCCAGAGCGATAATGGCTTTCAGCTGGAGCCTCAGGATGATCAATATACGTTGAGGTATGGCTCTATTCAAATATAATCGACATGTTTAATCGATGGAATCGATTGTTTAGCATACGACATCCGGATGGCAAAAGTTGGCGCGAAGAGACGGTGCAACTAACTCCGGCAGGTGTGCCGGAGGTTAAAGGTGTAATCAATCAGGCTTTTGATGATCGAGGCGCCACCTTGTTGGTCACCTACGAGGCGGGGCCTAATGGAAATGTGGCCAAGTATAGATATAAAAGCAATAGCCAACCCGAAAGACCGATATATGGAGTACTTTTAAGTTCAACTCTTTTAAAGGTAGCAGCCGGTTGAAAGTTTTGTACAGCGCTTAACTTAATAAAAGAATAATATGCTATATGTAGTATGCTCATTTAGAGAAAATTAGTGAGCCTGAGTAATATTCCTATGGCAAAGGATAAAAATGCACTATAATATATATTACATGTGCATAATCTAGTGCTATTATTTTATGCAATATATTCTTAAGAGCCCCGGCATATCTCTGATCTTGCTTTAGGTACTTGTCCACGTATCATGAATGCACTTTAGAACATATTTTGTCGGATGCCTAAAAGTATGCTATAATAGCTAGCAAATAACCATTCAAACTTGTCCAAGCTGAATTTCGAATACACTTACACATGGTAAAGATTACCACAGTAAATTTCAATATCTCTCCTCTTCTGTCACGCTTTTTGATAAGCACATATCGATATTAGTTTAACGATTGAATTTGAATTGTGTTGGTTGTGCTATCGATTACAGTTGTCCCTCAAAACAGTTTCGTGTCATTCAAATAATTAACGCTTGATTTGGCATGCAAACTGATATTCATATACATTAGTTAGATCGTAAATTAACGGCGTAATAGACAGTAATTTCACCTCACGTCACCTTCGTCACTACCCCACTCCGCACCTGCTCGGCTCGCTGTGAGAATCGTGAGCGAAATATCAAACAATGCTGCGCGGCTGTTTGGCACCTCATATCATATTTATCAGCCAGCCAGCTGGCAATTCAGTTGACTTTCTGTGGCACTCGTGTATTGACCGACTTATCATCTACGTGGTGCGGGAGCCGATAAGCCGCCACGATGCAGCTTTTGGCATGAATTATCCAGCAATTGTTTCAGTTTCTCTTCTTCTCTCTCTTTGTACTCTGGCAAAATGTTTAAAGAGTGGCGGAAACCACATTACAAACGCTGGCAGCATCATCAGCAGCAGCAGAAAAAACAAACGCTACGGCAGCTGCAGCGCCGAATGCTTGACAGGTGCCACTGGCAGTGACTCTCCAACTGTAAGAGTGGTTTTCATTAATGCTTGATCAATTCTCTGTATCCCCACAGAGAGACGATGATTGTGTTTGTCTATGACACTGAGTGTCTAAAGGACGAGGCAGATGATCCAATTGCCGCGGTGCTCTACTTCCATCCCAGCTGGGTATCGGACACACAGAAAGTAGCCCTATGTGGCCAGCTAATGGGCACCTCGTACTTCCTCAAAGATTGCTTCTTTAAGCCTCGGATTCTGGCCTTGCAGAACGGCAAGTTCGTGCTCAAGGAGTTCGGCCGCTTTACCTTGGTATGTCCGACACAAATGTCCAGAGATTACATTTCGTATTCAATTATTTGCTCTCTTCCTGTGTTACCTAGGCCGTGGGCACTGATCGCAATATTGGAGACGAATTGCTAGAGCATCGGGCGAATCTATTGAGCTCACTTTTGAAGTTCTTCCATCGGGACTTGCAGTCGCTGCACGATCAGTATGCACAGCCCGCTCAGCAGCACAACCGGAATCTCAACGAGAAGCTGTATCACATATTTGAGACATATCTACCCATGCTTCAACGCAATGGCAACACATTCCAGAATGTGCCAAAGTTGCGTATGCCTAAGGTGAGTGCCCGAATGTGCTTACTAAATACTTCATAAATCATTTCGAAAACCCGCCCACAGACCGCCAGCCATATCTACCTGGAGGCCATACAGACTCTGCAAAGCTGTCAGCAAACAAAGGGAATTCTTGGCGGTGTCATTCTCTACCACAACAAGTGAGTGTCTCAGTAAACATTTTTTCAGCCTTACTAATCTCTGTCCCTCTCTCTCTATCTATCAATCCCAGAGTGGTTGCCTCCCAGCTCGGAAATGTGGTGACGAAACAATTGGTGCTTACCGATCCGCGTCATGTGCGCACAACGGCCGAGCAGCTGAACATGCAACAGTTTCACATACCGCACGGCGTGCAAATGCTGGTCGTCTATGTGGAGCAGGAGCAATATCGCAAGCTGGTCACGGAGGCACAGCGTGCGCAGAATCTTCAGACAACAACCACGCAGCTGGGCCAAGGGTCACTTCCATTCCAATATGCGAAACGTAAGCTGAAGCGCGACAAGTCGCTCATCTTCACCCATATACCTGAGGAGGAGCAGGCGACGTCGACATCGGAAACGGTGGAGCTGCCCACGGCTAGGCCGAAGTCGATGAGGCCAACCCACTTGCCGTTGCGCTTGAAGAGCTTGCACAGCAAGGAGCTGCCCGAGTCTGGCATTGCTTCCATCAATTTCGATGAAACGGACTCCTATCCCGAGTTCATTGGCCGCACTAGCGTCTGCAATACGCCAATGACGGAGAACAAGGTGCTGCCGGTTGCTAATGTTATGTCAATATGCGCCAATCCCGAAGACGAGGATGCTGATGCCCATAACTCAAATGGCAAGGTGGCAACAGGAACGGCCTCGTCGTCGCGTCGTAACTCGCTCAAGCAAGATGTGGAGAAGTTCTTTCAGAACTTCATCAGCAATCCGCACAAGCAGATGACGCGTCGCAAATCCTCAGCCGATTTGCAGGATGCTCTGCGTGCCATTTCCAAGAAATTGGGTCACATCACACACGGCTTCAAGACGGATGAGAATCGCAATGGCAATGGTCACGCCGATGGCAGCTCCGATGCATCTCCCGACTTCATAGAGAACGATGAGCGCAGCAGCTCACGTACGATTAGCGATCCCACCTATCCGGTTTTCAATGCCAACGGCCAGCAGATATCACGTAGCCTGTTCCAACAGTTTCTTGAACAGTATCGCAAGCTGTGGGGCGTGGCCAGCGAACAAGCCGCACAGGACGCCGAGTTGGCGGCGCTCGTTGCCGAATTTCAGGAGTTCAACATGGAAATACAGAAGCTGGATGAGCACATGAGACAGCAAGCTGCCGAGGCATCGGCCTCAGAGGCCACTGAAGCAGCCGATCGTAATCTCAATATAACAGCAAAGACGCCGTCAGATAAGCGGGCCATGTGTCTGCCCCTGAAGTCAGCGGGTGAGTGCGGCAATGTGGAGACGATTGTCGCCCAGCGTCGTAATGGAGGCGCTGGCGTCCCCCTGACACCGCTCATGGCTAAGCTTTCTGTGCTGGCGCTCAACGAGACCACGCCCATCGAGATACAGACGCCGCTGACGAGCAGTAAAGGGTTTCCGCGTCGCAGTTCGCTCAAGTGCGAAGATGCCGTCGATGCTCTCGCCGCATTCTCCAATGCGCAGCCAGCTGTAGCAACATCCTCGACGGATGGCTTGCAGCGCACGGAACTCTACGTGTGCGGGCAGCAGAATATGACATTGCTGCTGCTAATGGAAGAGGGCTCCTGCTTTCAGCAGAACATTGTACAGAAGATGGTGAGCTGTCTAGCTGATGCTCAGCGTGCTGATCCTTATCTAATGCTTCGTTTTGATTTGCAGTTTGACATTTGCGTAGCGAAATTTCCGCACATGGAATCTCAGTTGAATCAAACGCTCAACGTCAATGTGGAGGGCGATAAGCGGGATTGTGGCAACTACAGCTTCATGTGCATCGATGCCAAGTGGGATGCACTGCAACGCAATGGGCCCTGGAATCCGCTGGAGCTAAATACGCTGGAGACCATGCACTGCGATCTGAAGCAACGGAGCGAACAGCTCACCGATTTAATACTTCGGTAACCAAATGGAGTCATGAAATAAAATATGAATATTGAATTTGGATTTCTCTTGACAGCTCCCATGACTCGGTCTTTTATGGCTACAAGTGCGGGCGCACCGAGTTCTTCTACAAGGAGCCCACACATCAGATCAATGGCATACCACCGCCCTCGGATCCCATTGGCAACATTCAAATGCGCGCCAAATCGCGTCTGGAACGTGATCATTCCTACATGCTCTTGTAGATTACGGATTAACCATATGCATTAGCAAAACAAACAACAAAATACAAATTACAAAATACTCGCATGCTTAGCCAAAAAGAAGAAAAAAATAACATATATAAATGTCCAGATCTAATGTGGATGCTGCTATGCAACCATAAAGCCAATTTAATGCCATCCGTACTAACTGTAACTTACTTTGCCATCTCAGTCTGTGTTTGCATTGAGCAAGGACAACTATTATCAAGTTTTAAGCATATTTTAAATAACATTTATATGTGAGTGCAAACGCAGCTTTTAGCTTAAATTTGAATAGTTTTTATATTATTGTTTTTCAACATTTCAAAAAGTACAAATTTATTTGTTTTTCGTTTTATACATATATATTTATAAAATTGCCAGCAAATGTTATTTAATTATAATTCGATTCTGTTGCAAAATGTTTGTTACGATTGCGAATTTCGTTTTCAATATTATTTTTTAGTTGTAGAAACATAGATATTTCTATACGTTATTTGCAAATGAATCTTAGTGCCAATTTAAATTCAAAAGCCGTCAATGTGTATAGAAATTTCTAAGTAAAACTTATATATATATATATTATATTMTATTGTATGTGTGTATATTTAACGGAGTTGCAGCAATTAGGAAACTTGTGCAATATACAAATATTTTGCGATTTTATGTTAACTTTAGCCCAAATACATTATGAATACAACTAAAGAGCACAATTTGTGCAATATACATATAAATATACATAAATGATATCAGATCACGATCACTATTATGAGACGTGCATGAGTTTTAAAGATGAAAATAAAATAAATTTAATTTAAAATTACCCCCAAATAATGCAATGTCATTTTCTGTTGACAGTTACATGTAAATATGTATAAAATCGAGTCTCGATAATTCACACCCCGTTAAATCGAAAATCGTGATGAATCGAAAAAAAGTTTTATCCTCTTGAATGGAATTCGTTCTCCCCGAGTCAGTGTCAATTTGTTTGTGCTAGACATCACATATCAAGAGACAAATATCAATTTTTTTTTCTGAAACTTATTACAAATATCAAAAGACAAATATCAATTTTTTTTGTGAAACTTATTTTGTAAAATATCAATTTTTTTTGTGTTACACAGTGTCAATTTTTTTGTGAAACTTTTTACAACTATCAAAAGACAAATAACTTTTTTTTTTTTTTTTTGCTCTTAAAAATAATAAAAGACAGTGTCAATTTTTTTTGTGATACTTGTCATCACATATTAAGAGGCAAATATCTTTTCTTTTTTTTTTTTGTGAAACTTATTACAAATATCAAGAGACAGTGTCAATTTTTGTTTTGTTTTTTATTACAAATATCAAGAGACAAATATCAATTTTTTTTTGTGAAACTTTTTACAACCATCAAAAGACAAATATCTATTTTTTTTTGTTTTTTGTGTTACATCAAGAGACAGTGTCAATTTTTTTTGTGATACTTGTCATCACATATCAAGAGACAAATATCAATTTTTTTTGTGTTACTTATCAAATATCAGGACACAAATTCAATTTTTTTTGTGTTACTTATCACAAATATCAAGAGACAAATATCAATTTTTTTTGTTTTTTATCAAATATAAATTTTTTTCCAAGACAAGATGGTGAGTGTGAATATTTTATGAAATTACGTGTGCTGTCATTGTAAGATCTTTTGTATTCGATGAACTTTCTACAGCCTCAGCATAGGGAAGGAGTACCAGTTCGCATCAAGATGCCTGCTTCAATCCAACCGAATTTTGTGCCCCCGCCGGGCAAAGCCGGGGAGTACACCAATAAGATACACCATATCAAAATGTATCTTCTGGAAGAGTTGCCGCATCATGACTTCTCATTGCCTTTCATGGAGCCGGTGGACACAGAAGCACTCAAAGTGCCCAGCTATTACACAGTCATTGAGCACCCAATGGATATGGGGACCATTATTAAGCGTGTGGAGAATAATTACTACCACAACGTCAATGAACTGGTTTACGACATCAGACTTGTGATTAGCAATTGCTTCAAATTTAATATGCCCGGCTCCCTGGTCTATCGCAACGGGCAGGAGTTGGAGGAGCTATTCAAGCAGGTGTACGACAGTCTGCCAAAGGGTGAGGAGGTGCCTTGCAGCAAGGAGCAGGCCGAAAGGTCATTGACGATGCATCAATGTCGCTGTCGGTTGAGGAGGGTGCGGGAGGAAACCGACGACCTGGAACAGGATGCACATGAGCTTTTTTCCGAAAAATGGTTGCCCGTTGCGAGAGACCTGAACAATCAGAATATCAAGGCGTTGGAAGACTTTGATGCGCGGCTGCACAACATCCTCAAGCATTGCAAAGAACATAGCAAGCGTATTCTGGATACATACGATTACGAGTCCAGTCGAATTCGTGAAGAACAGGCGAACAAAGGTGCTGAGAATGCAAATGATGAACTTGACTACAGTCTGCGCGAGTGCAAGAAGCCACCGTTCGATTGGGAGGATAGCTTGATCGATTCCCTCGATGATACTCTCATGTGCCTCCGGCAGGATCTGGCCAAATCTCGTCGTCGTGAGCAACAGAAGGATAAGCTCGGCTACAGTGAGCGTCTGTTGCCGATATTTATCAATGCCCAGATTATAGCTGAAGGTCTCTGCTCGCAAACTCATATGCCGGACTCGTCCGATGAAGACGAAGCTGATTCGGATACTGTTGACGCCATGGAACGTGAGCACATTCGGAAGCATTTCAGTGCGCTCGTTCTCGAGTCCAAGTACGATGTAATGCACATCATCGAGCAGGTCGAATACCGTCCTGACCGCAAGTACAATATGGTGAACTTTAGCTCGAAGACAATATCGTTGCTAAAGAAAGCTATAAAGTGCCATCACATGCGTATGGAGGCGGAAGCTTTGGCGCAGGCAATGTGTAACTCAGACAGTGAATTTACTACAAGTGATGACAATCCTTGTGGCTACAGTTTGCCGCCAGTACCAAAGCCTTTTTGTTATCCCATCGAGAACATATCCGATGATTCGGATGCAGGATTGTCAAGTCTTGCTGACACCGATGTGGACTCGTATCGTTACTCCGCTAGTAGCGAGGGGTGTAATGAATAATTATGTAAATAAAAAGTATATTATTTAAAATATAATCGCATTATTGTTCACTACGTTTATCGAAAAATGATTGATTTATTTCGCTTTCATTTCAAAATTTTGTGTAGTGATTTTTTCTTTTGACTTATTGTTAAGTTTTTTACTATTTGTTCTTATCAAAATATTCATATTTTTCTGCTTGCTTCGAATGATAATGTCGTTCATGCATATGGGGCCTATGATAATATTAATAATTAAAATTGTTCTCTTATGGTACCACAATGAAATAATTCTCAAGCGTTTTCTTTGTCCAACTATGCGTATCTCTAAGGTCTTGCTTAATTTGCGAACGAAACTAATTATTTAATTGTAAGCATATTAGATAAATCACACAACAATCTTTGCTGCACTTTGCACTCTCACTAACTTCGTTGTAGGCTGCTAAAAACTATATGGATTACATCTATTTATATATGTAAGTAAATAGTATRTAATAATATATATGTAGGTGTGTGTGTGTGTAGTATGATTAACATTCTGGCGTTTTGTTTTGTTTTTTTCTTTTTCAATTTAGCACATTTGACTACTAAGCTTAGTAATTAACCCGTTGCTGCCGTTGATTTAGTTTCTAATCTCTGACCAACTATGCCACAATATGACTATTCTTGTTCAGATCAGTAAGTAACTCGGCATTCAAATCCTCCCCCTCCAGCAAATCGCCATTGAGTGAATGCGGAATGCTTGTGGACAGCACCATGCCACGCCCACCGCCGACACTGCCGCCACCAGCGCTGCTTGTGCCAATGGATATGTCATCCGGAGGCGAATTGCGACGGCGTTCGCGCTCACGCACAATATGTGGCGCCTCGTTAAACTCGTCTAGTTCATCCATGCCTGAAAAGGGGAAACAATTTGAGTCGATCATAAGGATAGATATAATTTATGCACTTACCTGCATATTTGGTGCCCGCCAGCAATAGATATTGACCGGCTCGATTGGGCCACAACAGTCCGGTCATTACACAGTAGGCCATGCAGTCGGCCGAGTTGGTGATGCCCTGCAGCAGCTTGTACCGCCACATGGGACTCACCTGCAACGCCACAATAGCCACAATGGGCAGGTAGATGAACCACACCAAGCTGGAGGCGCCCAAATGCAATAAAAAGTCCAGCTTCTTGCTGGAGTGCTCATACTTCATTGTATTACGCAACTCATAGAGAAACCACATCATGAACGAAGTTCTGTTGGTTTAGTATAATAGATTATAAACAATCGATTTAAAATAGAAATAGTTTTGATTAGCAACTTACCGCAGTATCAAAACAATCCAGCCTGGCCAGCTCTGATACTCATCGCTATCGGATATGATATCCACCTCCGTCTGAAACAGAATCAAGTTTAATATTAAGAAACATATCAAAATACATTCCTCGGAACTTACCCGATCCCATATGTAGAGAAATACATGGAACGCACAGTATGGCACCCAGATCGACATCAATATGATCCAGCCTGTGCGGCTGATTTGCTGTCGCGTCACCGCCCAGCCCTTGGCCAGCAGCAACAGAATCAACATGAATGTGGTGCGGCTGAGTATGTCCAAAACATCCCCAGCTGCCTGCATATTGGGCTCTCCGACCCCATTGGCCGCATATCGAATCAGATGTGCCGTAATCAAAGCCAAACTCACAAATTCACTGACCAGGCTGAGCGTGAACAGCTTGGTCACCGGATGCTTCTGGCGACGCACAGCATAGATTTGCATGGGCAGCAGCACAATGTAGACCAACATAAAGATGAGATACATTTCCAGCAGATTCTGCTGATCGTACGGATACTGATAGGTCAGCGGATGTGCGGCCGAGTTATTTGGATGCACATTCACCAAGTTGATGTCATACTGCAGAGTAGTGAGCAGGCTGCTGCTCCGATTGCTCAGACGGGCGAAGTTCTCGTGGGCATGCCACTCACACGTGCTGCGATTCCGATAACATGCCACCAATGCCACATACCAAAAGCTGAAAAAAAGAGAGAGAGAGAGGACATTGAGACAAACATCAGGTAATTCGATATACATGTATTCAAGTGCTGATTAAATGAATCAGCAATCTCATTCTGTGTTTTATAGATAAAAAAAATTGCAATATGAAACAGAGAAAATAAACGAAACAGTAGCTACAAACATATCTATATGAATTGTTTGATAAGCTGTCGTCGCTTATCAGCCAATTGTTATTGGCTAATATCTAGGCTACCCACCGTGGTTCCGCCTCCAAGTCTATGACGTAGGTGAATTGATGTCCGCTAATGACATTCGACGGCGCATCCTCGTCGATGCACAGCTGATTGTGCGGGCAGGGCACGCGACGTAGGAAGTCCCGTTTGCCCTGGGGATTGCAATCCGGATCGTAGACAACGTGCTGCAGGCGTGCGAACATGCGCGAGCAGGCACTTTCTCTATTGCGAAAACTGCGATTGCTGTAGAAGTCGACAAACATGGACTTGTCCAGCACAACGAGCGTGACGGGCGCACTGTATGTGTCCGGAGAGGTCACATTGCCGAATATGTAGCCATAGGACTCACGACTGCGCGGAGTGGGCAGATCGGCCTTCTGAAAGCCAAATTTGATGAGGAACTGAAAAAAGTCGGCCGTGTGGAATTCGCCGCTGATGTGAGTCGTCGACGCCGGCGGTGTGTGCAGCGCAAGCATCACCAATAACACTAGCCATTGTATGTTGTGGGAGGCGGGGGATGGCACTGCTGCTTGTGGTGTAGCTGATAATGATGCTGCGTACATTGCAGACCTTATCACTGTATTTGTTTTTATGTTGCCAGCGTCGCGAGTTTGTGTTGCTTTCTCATCAGCTGCTGTCGTGGCAGCTGAAGTGCAATGACACTGCCAAGGTGGCGCACTTTTGTGCATTCTGTGCGAATTCGTTAACTATTTTTGTTTGTGGAAACTTCCACTTTGCTCAGTTTTGCTCTGTTTGTCTTCTTCTTTGTCAATTGTTTCGCGGAAGTGGACAGCACGCAAACATGTAAAGTTGTGGCCACCCAGAGAAACATAACATTGGCGAAAATGTTAACGGCAACGCACAAGCTTTCAAGATATTGGCCTTTAATTTGATATTTACAATTATGTATATTATAAAATAAAAATTTTAAAATTATAATTAAGATGTGTAGATGTGTTTTGTTACGTATAAATGTACGTAATTGATTAGTTGAGACACACAATTTAAATTAACAGATCTCTAACAGAAGTGTGCACGCCAGTTTGCAGTAACCATAATGTTAATAACAGCATAAGTAGACGCCGAAAATATAGTCAAATAAAAGTATTGTGCTTAGAGCATTTGCTAATTTAGAAATATTTCTGAATTTGTGAATAGCTTTTTAGTTTTCTTAAGTGACATCTATGTTTCAAATTACTGCAGTTGCAGTACCCAGCTTAGCCAACCTAATATTTTGTGAGCGCCTGGACTTTACATGAACCGTAGATGGCGCTCTAAGCACACAAGAAATATAATCGCACAATTGAACGTCTTTAAGGTAGAAGCTCCTTTTTAGTTTCCTAAATTCCAAATTGCTGTCGTAATATGCGATTATCAAACAATAAGGGTCATCAGTAGAGTGATGTATTGCACCCTTTTGAATGGCCGCATTAGCCACAGGCAAACACCTCTCCTCCTCCAGCTCCATCACCTTCACTTCCTCGCTCGCAATTCAACAATAAATTTCAATAATTCTAAAATTTATGCGGAAAGAGAATGATGCTACCCTTTGGCGTTTATGCAATGCCAACTTCAAAGTCTGCAGTGTCCGGAATTACCGCTTCCTCCCTCTTCCTCATCTCTCCCCCACTCTCTCTCTCTGTGATTTTCTCTGCAACGGCCAATAAGCGGGCATCCCCCTTTTCCATAAATATATGAATGTGTATTTGTGTATATGTATAATGCATGCGTCGGTGGCGACAATCCCCGCATGGATTGCGGTTGCCATTGATGCTGCGGAAGTTCTGTCAAGGTGCAAAAGAGCTTTGCACGTTGACAATTCCTTTGAGCTTTGATTACTGTAAAGGGAGCGTGAAGGGTTTGATTTTGTTCTGAATAAAAAAAAAATATTAAAATCTGTTAAAATATAGAATATTCTATTGTGATTCCATGCTATACGGCTTAAGGGTGGCTCCGGCTGGCTACGTGTTTCTCTTGTTGTCCAAATAGTACTAGAGTTCCTTGCGCATCTTAAATTCATTATTGATGACGAGGCGAAATGAATTGTGAAGGAAAAGTTAACTCTCCCATCGCATTGTTGACAGTTACAATTCGGGTTCATTCATATGTGCGAAATGTGTAGCAACAAAAGTCGTGAGAAATGTGTAACGAGGGCCGTTTCCAGAGTTGGCCTCGTTAGCAAAAACTATTTATTGCAAATGTTTCAAGGGACCCGAGAAAACAAAATAAACAATTCAATGAGCAGGCTACAAAAATATTTAATACGAAATGTGACTGGGTTGTTGTTATACCCTGCACTTGTTGTGAATGATGAAAGGGGGTAGATAGGTTTCTGTTTAAATGTATTTAGAAGAAAATAAAATAAATATAGATTATTTATGAGGTGTATTTCTGTAAATAGTATATTTGATTGTTGATGAGAGATTATCATCATAATGATCATTTGATATAGTATATTATTATGATGGTGAGCTAATATGATTTATTTACTAAGAAAAGTATGCTGATTTAGGGTATTTTCTAGTCGAGCAATCCCGGCTGTAGCTGTGTTAGTTCTTATTGTTGTCGTTGGGATTTCCAATATAAATCGACAAGGTTAGCAAAAAATAGAAAAATACGCCTAATTTGTTGACGAAGTCCACTAACTTCAGACCCAATGGCAGACAATGACAGAGACGCAGACAGACAGACAGAGAGAGACAGCGAGAGAGAGAGAGAGAGAGAGAGAGAATTCATTGAAATGCCAAACGACGAGCGGCACGATGCCCATAGACAGATTGAATGGGGTCAGCATTAGAGCTAGCTAAGGGGGCTTAGTCGCAGATATTTGTCGACCTTTGCGAAAATCTATTTTTATTACTGATTGCCAAATGTTGCTGTATTTATAAATAATAATATTCGTATTCATGTACTCCAGTTCAATTGCAAAACATGCGACGCACCAAACGGGCTGTAAAAAAGTAAATAATTTCCGTAAAGCTCAAGGCGCTGCAGCCCAAGAAGAAGCCAACCAAGCCGCCAATATAAACTGTTGAGAAAAACATAAAAGAAAACGAGTTAGTCGTAAACTCAAGTAGGTAATTGAGGAAATATTTTAATGACCTACCCAAAACATCAGCAAAGGAGAAGAGAACATCCCGACGTAGCTGCATTTTCGGGTAATCAATAATGCCCCATTGTAGATTAGCGCCCAGAAACCAGACGCGGGACCTCTAAAAGACAGACAGAGAGAGGGAGAGGGGGAAGGGGCATAAGTAGAGTAGCATTTGAAATGGCAACATCAGCATAACAAGTCAAGTAAACTGAAATTATTATTAAATCTAAAAACTTTCGCTGCACACTGTGCAAAAAAAAGTTAAACAAAAAACTTTTCTGCGCTTTTTGCCGTAGCGGCCCGAAACAGAAATAATTGCATATTTCAAGGCGTTCGCTGGCAAAACAACTTTTGTGCTTATTATTTTTTACGGTCCCGGTTAACAATTTCAATGTTTGTTCACGGTAAAATGGCCAAAACCTTAGCCAGAGCTAAGAGCAGGAGACGTTGTTTCTTGCCGGCAAACGAGCATCCCGCTTTGGCTTTAACGACCGCTAGATGGCGCCCATGCTGCAAGCACTGTTAAAGTACATTTTGAAATACTAATAAAAATACTAAAAAAATAAATACATTCAAACAGAGCTGTGGCAGACGTGAAATATTCAAAGGATATAAAATCATATGATTAAATTCATATTTAAAAAATTTATATATTAATATTAATATATTCAAGCTCACAAAGGGGTTATTAAAAACCTCGTATGACTTTAAAAAATAAAAAAAAAAAATATTAATATATATTTATACTAATGTCTAGATAGCCTACAAGACTATGATATAAGGTTTTATAATTAAGGAGTTGCTTCATAACTTATGTTTAAAATTCAGCTTATTATTATGTTTCGTTCTACTTACATAAGACTGCACAAAGAAGTTGGAATCATCACAGTTGGACAAGCAATTGCAATTGATTTTGTATTTATCCGATTTTAGGGAGATTATTTCGCCTATAAAATAGAATGGAGAATGATTAGAACTATAAGTGCTAAGCGAATGCACTACATATATAAGGCCGGTCACGTAAATGCTAAAATATTTCTTGATGAAATTTCAGCCATCAATTCGAAATCAAGCCAAATATTTGCATGTGCGAAGAGGATTATCAAAAAATGCTCACGTTTAATTTTGACCAAGCAGCCGATGCCCTCCAAACCGCATATTGGCAAGCGGCGGCCATTGCGCACTGAAAGAGACAGAAGGAGAGTGTGTGTGAGAGAGAGAGAGAGATAGCAGTCTGTCGTGAAACTTCAAGTGGAACTATTTAAACATTTTACGAGAAAAATGCAGAGCGACAACAACGATAACGACGTCAACGTTGACACATAAAAGTTAAACTTAATGGGACCAATTAAGTGCAACTATGTGAACGAGAACGAGAACGTGAACAGGAAGAGGAACAGGAACAGGAACGGGAACAGGAACGGGAACGGGAAGAGGAATGATGATAAATATGAGCGTGATGACAAGCTCAAAATTATAATTACACCAGAAAATTAACAATTGAATAAAATGTTGTGTGTTTGGTGGGGAAGGCGCGACTAGAAAATACCCTAAACTAGTAATTTTTTGTTTGCATAAATGAATGAAGAATGAAATAAAGTTTGTATACGTCTATATAACATTTCAAATTAATTTGATTTATTTTATTTTGTATAAATATAATTAACTGTAGAACTATTTTTACATATGATAATTATACTTCTAATAAAAAATATGTTCAATGGTTTCTGGCTAGAAAAGTCGAATGTAAATGTGGAAAAGCCTATAAGAGTTGTGCGAAGCAGAGCTAAGAATTGGATATTGCATCTATTTAATATGCATTTAATATAAGTAAATGCGATATGTATATAGTATATTGTGTAACAATGCACAAAACCTAAGTTAATCTACTTACATATATTGCGATAAAAGTGCGGCACGCAGCCGCAGACGCGCAGAGCAAAGAACATGCGGCACTCGGAGAGGCACAGGCCAAAGCTGTAAATGGGCACCGTTTGCATCTCATCGGCCTCATACTGAAAGCGGCATTTGCGTTGCTTGGTGTTGAAGCTGCTCGAATATGAGAATATATAGAAATGATATATAAATGTAGTTGGAGTCGTGCATGCTCACGCTCTGGCATCCTCGTTCGTGTAGATCTCCAGCGCGATCAGCTCCACCGTTGTATAGTCGCTCTCGGGAAAGGTGTAACGCTGCTTCGATATGCTCGGCACATCGCCAGCGCCGTGAAAGTAAACATCGTAGGCAGTCGATAGATTGATGATCTGTGCATAGATCTCGCCATCGAGTGGATGAACTGTCACACGATCGCCATGATCCAAAAGGCTCCAATCGCCAGAGCGCCAATATCTATAAGAATATAAGATGATATCAGAATATAATATAAAAAATATATATAATGTAATGTAATATACTATAATATAATATTGGGTAATATGGTATAATATTTTTGGGCATGCAAAATGGGATTTTTCAGATCAAAGAGAGCTAGAAGCACATTGGTCTGAAATCAATATTTCTAAATGATCTTCAAATGCTGAAATGTTGACTAATAGAAGATCCTCGGGGATAAGCCCTAGTTAGGTCTCACTTTAAACATTTAAGGATCATATTTATTTGAACGTCTGGAAGATGACTCAACAAAGATAATCAAACTATTCAGTTTCCTCACTCACTTGTAGGTATTGTAGCGTGCCACAAGTGAGTTGACGGAGTGGCAAATGCCAAACTCCGTTTGCGTCTCATAGATGAACATTTTGACAGCGGCGCCGCTGCTGATTTCCGGCTCGAAGGGCCATTTCAGCTCATAGAGCAAGCTCAAATAGTCGCTGCTGTCGATGCCGTACGACTTGTTCAATGGCAGAGTTTCCAAGTTGTCGTATGTGAGACTCGCAAGTTTGATAATAAAATCCCGGAAGAACTCCTTATCATCCTCGTCCTCGAACTTCTCGCTGTGGGCCCTAAACGAGATGAGACAGAAGTGAATATTAAATAAATATATATATTCGATATATATTCAGGCTTACTCTATGTAATCCTCCAGCTTGATGTCATCGATGCGCTTGTGCGGACACACGGTGAGCGATGGGAAGCTGGTGTTCCACACCAGCTTATTGCGATCCATTGAGATGACCATGGGCGAGGTCTGGAAACGTTGCCAAGTGCGTTGGCTCAGCGAGATGATGCTGAACAATGCCACGCAGATGAAGGCAAACCAAAGCATGCTGAAAGAAATCAACGAACAAAAAATACGGAAATGATATATGTCGTATAGAGTCTTCTTTTTTGTATGCCCTGGGAGTTATTGGAAATGGGGTATGTGGGTTGGGTGAACTCTATTGTAGAGGCTAAGGTAGATAAAAGTTGATAGTACGTGAAGCTTTGAGAGGATCTAGGAGATCTGTTCTATTATAGCATGAAATTTATAAGATCTATATCATATACCTCTTATTCATTATCTATTATCTTAGTATGCATAAGATATTTATCAAACACTAGTTAATTATTAACTATTATCTATATTCATTTTATGAAATAAATAAGTATATGCATAATCTATACAGATCACTAATATTTCAAGTTTGAATCTCTGTTTTGATCGAATAAATCATATCATTTCATATGAAAGTTTCATAGCAATCAGCTTTGAATGTTCTCTCTATGAATATTTCATAGAGTTTAGTACTTCAGTTGTAATCGAGTAGTTCTAGCTCTAGCTCTAGTCTTATATGCCAGTCTTATATTTCAGTCTGAGCTTGCTTCCAGGGTAACTGCTAGTTCTGCATTTGATTTTAGCACACTACTATTTCCAATTTTTTGTTTTTGGTGTACATACTGTGAACGCACATAAAAATCTATTGCGTGTAAATTTTTGTAAGCATCAGTCGAAATATGCGACAGCGAAGAATTATGGCCAAGTTAGGGAAGAGTCAATGAACGAGAGACGACGCTGGCGACGCAGTGGCAACCCTTTTGCAGACGCCCCATTTTTATGTTATGTTTGGCTGCAAGTGCGACGGATCGAGAGAGAGAGAGAGAGAGAGAAGGAGAGTGAGAGAGAGAAGGAGAGTGTGTGTGGACATAACAAGTCTGACAAAAGCCGGCAAATCCTTGAAGCATCTCCCTTTCGCTTTGCCAGTGTCGCACCGCACAATGATGACATTTTGACGCCAGCAATGGCTCATAAAGCCTTCAGCACTGTCAACACACACACACACACACACATACACACATGTATATACATGCATAAGTGTGTGGGCACTTCATTGCTGTAACAGCTACTTGGCTTTTAATTTTCAAACATTTCGCTACGAAAATGCTACGAATTTTCCGCTACTGCACCGAATCATTTCTAATTTGAAATTGTCTGGGAAATTCGCCACTTGAACGGCGTTGTTGGAAAGGTTTTCCTAGCTGGAAAAGGGTATATGGAGTATGTACTCTATGATAAATTTAATAGCACAAAATTAAATTAAGAATTAAATAGCAGTTTAGAATGAGAAACTTTAAATATAGTAAATAATATTAATATTTGTTTTTCATTTTATAAAAATGCATGCAAATGAATAAAAAATTAAATTAAATGAAAAAATTATTTTTTATAAATCGCTTTACATTTTTTAAAATTAAGAATATAGAGGTCGGAGTTCTTCAGGCACATAAAATAAAAATAAAATACATAAAAAATAAATTTCAGATGAAACCAATTATTTGGCATTTTTTTTAAAATTATGAATATTTTATTATTAAAAAAAACATAGTAATAATAATTACATAACATTAAAAACATAACTAAAATGAAAAATATAAATAAATAATATATAAATTAAATACATTTTTTGCCTCAAACTATCGAGTTAAATAAAAAACCAATATTAAATAAATTTTGTAGTACTGTTTATAAAACTTAATTAGATGTCATATAAATATAAATATTAATTAATTTAGATGCCATATATAATATAAGTTGATTTATAATATAAGTTGATTAAAACATTATTTTATTTTCATTTAATTCAATTATTTTTTTACTTTGTATTTATTTAGTATTTAAATGGAGCTGCATCATTTCACGTAGGATATCTGTTAGTCGAGCATAATTTTAATAAATATACCTAACTCTACGCCTTGTTCTTTTTTTTTTTATGACAAGAGTTGGAATTGTTGGTGCTTTTATGGTTTCAGAGAATGTCTGCGTGCTAAAATTGTTTGGACATCATATAACGCCAGTCTCGCCTCATCTGTCTGGCTGACAGCCCGTCTGTCTCTCTGTCAGCCAGAGATTTGCTTTGTTTCATCAACTCGCGCCACTCATATGAATAAAATTTGTGCGTGAATGAGGCGCAATGGGGCAAGGGAGGGGCTCTTAAAGTGTAGGAGAGCGTGTTAAAGGGAATAATAGAAATATTTGTGTAATACATACTATAGATATAGATATATTGAGATATATTAGAGAAGGCCTTAACTTACGTAAAAATAGTTAGACTTTAATTCTAAAAAATAGTCAAATAAATAGTTATTATTATAATTATATAGAAGCTGATATATTGAAATATATTAGAGAAGAACTTAAAGTTACATAAAACAACTTAGACTTTAATTCTAATAATTCTAAAAATTAGTCAAATAAATAGTAATTATTCTTAATATATATAAGCAATGCCACATCTTGACATTTTGCTTATTCAGCTCTCAGGTTATTCGACTTTAGCTGAAAGCTAAGACACATTTCTTACTGATTCGCTTTTTAGAACTCCTCCCCTTCTTATGTCTATATCGCTACTTCACATACCCCCGCCCTAGGTTCAATAGTTCGCAGTCATAAGTAAACTTTTTCTGTTTGCATTTAAGCCATTGTTGAACTGAAATGCAACTCAAAAAAAAAAAAAAAAAAATATAGTGAATGCATTTACCAATACTATTGCCACATTTGGCAACCTCTCTACAAACGGCATCCGCATTGCACATGCATTTGCGTATTTTGCATTCGCAGCTCGTTCTCTGATTCCGGCTGCGGATTATGCAGTCGCATGACTCCCATCCCTATACCCTCCCCCCAGTTTTCCCCCCAGGCTCTTATTGCTTCGCTCGGAATTGAGGTTATCACATGTCAGCAGCACAGACTCCGGCGATTTATGCATATTTCACCTGAAATATTTCCACTGCAGGACTTAAGCCCCTTTTCAGAGTTATTTAAATCAAAAATATTATGCGTTGCACATTCCTTTGAATGCTTCGCCACGCTGTCCTAAGTAGGTGAAGGATTTCTTATTTTTTTTCTTTTATTTTTGCTCTTGACTTGAGCTTGTGTATTATTATTTTATTATAAATTATTT